ATTTTGGATGAGCATTAGGTAAATAGTAGAATATTTTGGTTCATGGTCCAAAATAATAAGGCTAGTATTATGGCCGATTGTGAAATAGTCACAACATACAATCTAATGGGGATTTTTTCAGTTAGAGTGATTTAGTATCAAATGGCACGAAAAAAACTTTATCAAATTTACCTGCCGTTGATATTGTGTAAGAGTAGAGAGGGTGTGCAGGATTCGCTGCCACATGTCCCGTGTCAAAGTGTACCTGAACAAAACACCTAACTGCCTCATGGGCACCTTTACGGCAGCACACTGCTCCCACTATGTGGGATGGGTTAAATGCAGAGAATAATTTACCCTACCGGAAATAATAATCTTTCTTTCTGCGATCTAGTTTTTGTTTTGGAATTGTTAGTAGGGTAGAGCCCTGCTGGATGATTTGTAAAAAAAAACTTTTTGTGCTTTTCCCTAGGTGTGGAGATAACCACAGTCCAGACTCAGAGAGTGGTCAGAGACATTGTCTTCCTTGTGGATGGCTCGAACTACATTGGCAGTGGTAACTTGCCATATGTGAGAGACTTCATCATCAACGTGGTCAACCAGCTGGATGTACGTCCTGATAGGGTTCAGATTGGCCTCCTCCAGTTTGCTGACCGTCAAAAAATTGAGTTTTACCTGAACACCTTCAGCAACAGGGAAGATGTTGTGAATAAAATCTCTCAACTGAGGCTCACTGGTGGTTCAGTTTTGAATACAGGAGCTGCATTGGATTATGCCCTTCGCAATATGTTCAACACATCAACTGGCTCACGCAGGAGGCAGGGAGTCCAGCAGGTGTTGGTTCTGGTTACAGGTGGACCAGCCCAGGATCAAGTTAAATTGGTCGCTGATAAGTTGGCTGTCAATGGAATTTTGACTTTCACTGTCACTTCTGGGCAAGCGGATGAAGCCATAATGAAAACTGTAGCCTTTGTTCCAGATTTGGCTTACCATGAAACAAGTTTCCCTAATTTGCCAGCTATAGCAGAACTAATCATGACAAAGTTGACAACAGTAGTTGGCAATACAGATGTAACAATATCCATCCAAGAGGAAATTGGTGAGATTTGCATCCCTCTGTTTCTATCAGAAATGAAATACATCTGATGTGAATAATGGTATAACTGAAACTTTTTTTCGTTGTTGATTTCCCTCAGTTGTTGCTGGAGCAGAAAGAGATGTTGCCTTTCTCATTGATGGATCAGAAAACGTTCGAGCAGATTTTGCCTACATCCGGGACTTCATCATTAAAGTCATTGAACCACTTGACATTGGGATTGACAAGGTGCGAGTTTCAGTGGTTCAACACAGCGAGAGGCCAACTCCAATATTCTACCTTAACACTCATCAAACCAAAGATGAAGTAATAAGAGCTGTTAATGCAATGACATTGACTGGTGGACGTAACCTAAACACAGGAACCGCTCTAAAATTCATGAAGGACACTATCTTGTCCGAAAGGTATGGTAGCCGGGCTGCACAAAATGTCCCTCAGTTTCTAATTGTTTTGACTGGAGGAAGATCCAGGGATAACGTGAAGGATTCTGCAAGTGCGCTGAAGACAAAGGGAGTCGTACCATTTGGTGTTGGTGTCAAGGATGCTGACCCAAAGCAGATTGAGGCCATTTCACTCAACCCTTCTTTTGCCTTCAATGTGAGGGAATTCAGTGAGCTTAGCAGTATACCACAAAGGCTCAATAACTATGTGCAACTCTCAAAGGAAGAGCTGACCACAGTTCTACAACAAGGTAAGCTAAATCTCTTTTTATATGGTCTCTTCTTCTTCTTCTTCTTCTTAAATGAAAAAGCCATTTCTACATATATATTTTTTGTTCATTATCAGACAAACTTCATTTTTGTTGAGTCTTAGCAAAAACACATTCTGCAAAATAGATAGAAAAAAAAAAATAGAAAATAGATATTGTGTTACTTCTGGATGGCTCTGATAACACAAGAGATGGACTCCCTGAGTTAAAACAATTTGTCCAGAGCATAGTGGAGAACTTCTCTGTCAGTAAGAACCAAGACAGATGGTCTGCGGCTCAGTTTGCTGATACTCCTGAGGTCATTTTTTATTTGAATGCTCACGAGGCAAATAATTATACAATGAAGCCATTGATAATTTATGGCACATGGGTGGAAGGCACCTTTATATCGGGGTAGCTCTCCAGTTTGTCAGGCACAGTGTCTTCACTTCCTCAACAGGTAGTAGAAGTTTAGAAGGAGTGCCCCGGATTTTAATTATTGTAAGTAGTAAACCATCCACTGATAAGGTGTGAAGCCCAGCCTTTGGTCTTAAGGAGCATTGAATTATGTCTGCGGAGATCGGAGTGGGAGAAGCCAATAAAAAGAATTGCCTACACACCTGGTTTCACATACAAAGTCACTGATATCTCTAAATCGACCTCTATCCAATCACAACTTTCATGTCTCTATAAAAGTCAAGTCAAAGTCACTCAAGAATTTAGCACCAGGTGGCTCTCTGTATCTTTTCTGCTTTTAAGAAGGTATCCCTCTTTTATCCTTACAGTGATTTCCCCTTCCATTATACCAGCGGGGTGCCCCCCCCGTCCTCCTTACCCCCCTCCCCTAGCTGAAATTACTCCCTCCTCCCGGGTGCCTGAATTTGAATGTCGGTGTTACACCCCCCCGTACCCACCCCTGAAGTCGTACACCTAGGGAAAACACTGCCTTCTTTCATATCGTCCACATCAATGTTACTTGTTAAGTTAGGAGTCAACATATTCTTCTGGATATAATCCTTTCAGAGAAGTGGCTTATCTTTCTTTCCATACTCAATTTATTTCTAGACTGTTAACCTACTTATGCTGAAAATACACATCGTTGTAAAACAGTCTTGAAAACGTTTACTCATGTATCAACTTGTTGCCACAGTGAGTAAAAAGTGGGACATAACATAGTGCTTCTGCTTGATGGCAAGTTCATCAGAAAAATAACGAACGAGCTTGACATTGGTGAAGATAAAGTTTTAATAGTCGTAGTGCAGTATAATGATGATACTACAATATACTTCAACCTAAAAACGTACACATCCAAATAGGTTTTAATCCATGCTACAAGAAATCTGCGCCATAAGGAAGAAGACCTCAAAACACTGGAGCTGGACTCCAGCTTGTACGAAACCGTGTTTACACGGCTTCATCTGGGAGTAGACGCATGGAGGGAATCCCCCAGATTTTATTTTTACTGACTTGTGGCAAATACAATGAAAATGTTTCAGAGGAGGCATTGGACCTAAAACAGATCGGCATTATGTCTTTCTCCATTGGCATGAAAAATACTACACAGGCAGAGATTGAAAAATATGCTGTTTCCTCGAGATTTATTTGCAACTTTCCTGTCTTTGGGGAATTTTTGAGAGATAGCTGCATTTGTCCGGAATAAAATACATGTTGAGCCCACAACTGTTGTAGGTAAGATGTACAAATTAGAATTCGAGAATCAAACTGAGCCTCCCCTTATGGTCTAACTACTTTTTCGTTCACATTTTGAATTGGAATGAAATTGTATCATCTTTTGAAGAACATCAGTGGAACGGTTCCATGCTTTCCATGTCTCATTGGCTCTCATACTTTTCTTCTTGTACCTCTTGAGAGTCTTGTCTTGCTTTAAAACGGCCTTTCTTTGTGTTCCTAAGCTCTTCTTTAAGCCAGTGAAAATCACATTGTTGTGTACGTATAGATTTGAAGAATGTTTAAATATTATATTCAGCTATCTTTCTTTCATTTGTGAAAAAATGATATGCTCCTCATCTTGCAGATATATCTGAGTTTCACACAGTGGGAGCAGTGTGCTGCCGTAAGGGCGCCCAAGGAGCAGTTAGGGGTTAGGTGTCTTCGACATAGGATATGGAGCAGCCAGGGTTCTAATGGCAAATCCTGCGGTTCCCAGTTGACCCTCTCTACTCCATGCGCCACGGTCACCCACGTATTTTGTAATGTCTCCTCTATTCTCTGGATGTACTTATACATTTTCTTCTATAATTATGCTTGAAACAATAAGAAATTAACATAGGAGAAGAGAAAAATAGGCTTTACCATATAGGATTCGATATAGATTATTTATTTACTAAATGACCGTAAAACATTCTTTATCCTAATAAATAAATACATTTTTTGCTGTTCAGTATTTTGGACCTATCCAGTGGCGAGGATTGAGTCAACAGGTTCATTTAAAATAATAGAGCTGGTTGTACACGCGAGGTAACTGAACATTTGGAGGAATAATAGAATTTTCCTCACAAATTTCCTCATCAATTATTTTGCTTATATCCTTGTCTTATTGCAGATCCCAACAGAAGAGAGATAGTTTTTGTGCTTGATGGTTCTGATGACTCTCAGCAAAGATTCCCAGATATTAAGGATTTTGTGCAGAGGATAGTGGTGGACCTTAACATTGATAAAAACAAAGATCGTGTGGCTGTGGTCCAATACAGCAACACGGCACAGATTGATTTTAACCTAGGACGTTACACAACAGGGGATGATGTTCTCGATGCAGTAAGACGCCTCAGTCACAAAGGAGGGTACCCTCACAACATTGGGGCAGCTCTCCAGTATGTGAGGGACCACGTATTTACTTCTGACTCAGGAAGTAGACTCCTTGGAGTTCCACAGATACTCATACTACTGAGTAGTGGAAGATCTGGAGATGACATAAGAACCCCTGTCAGAATGCTAAAAGAGACTGGTGTCATATCAATTGCTGTTGGAACACCTGATGCTGACACTCTTGAGCTGCAGACAATCTCTCATGAACCTAAATATGTGGTCTCTGTTACTGATTACGAGGAGCTTCCCAAGGCTAAGGAAGATGTCTTGTCACTGATACAAAGTGCTTCCCATCACACAGAGCAAACTGCTTCCTCAATGGCTTTTGGTGAGATATATTATTTTAACCTTTTAGCTGAAGCATTTCCTTTTTAGTTAACAGGGTTATGGGCTAGAATAGAATGAGGTAAATGCCATCACTGTATCATGGGGACTGTCACTACCTGTAACTGCAAGAAATCACATGAAGTTTCTGTCTACATCTTTGTCTTTGTTGCAGATACTGAGAAAAATGATGTAGTATTTCTTATTGATGGATCGTTTGACTCAAGAAACGGCTTTGAAGAGATACGACTCTTTGTTAAAAAAATAGTTGAAAGTTTAAACATAGATGAGAACAGAGACCAAGTTGCTGTTGTTCAATACAACCGTGACTCCACAGTCAACTTCTACCTGAATTCCTATTCAACCAAGAATGATGTTCTCAATTCCATTGGAAAAATAAGACACAAGTCGGGGAGACCCCTCAACATTGGCAAAGCACTTGAGTTTGTCAGAGACAATGTCTTTGCTGCTTCAGTTGGAGGTAGAAATGCAGAATCAGTCCCACAATATCTGTATGTTTTTAGTGGTGGAAGATCAGGGGATGATGTCAGAGGACCAGCACAGTCTCTCAAAGTGAATGGGATAAAGACTTTTACTATTGGCTCAAAGAATGCTGATACGTTGGAAATGCAAACCATCTCTTTCACGCCTGCATATTATTTTCATGTGACAAACTTCAACAATCTGCAAAGCATACATCCATCTGTCGAGGCCACATTGAGGGGTACAGAAGACACAACAGAATTTCCAACTGTGAATGGTAAGACCTGAAAAAATGATCAATGAGCATCTAAGACCTGTTTTCTACGTGTTGCATTACTGTATATTAGGTGCAAAAATCCGAAGTATCTGTCTTTAGCATAGATGTGTTCGTATTAATATTAGAAACTACTGAAAAAATAAAACCCAAGAATGCTGATGTTGTTATTCTGATTGATAGATCTGATGATATGCGAACAAGTGAAAGACAAATTTTGGATTTTGTCAGAGACCTCGCCGATCAAATGGAAATTGATTGAATACAGCAAGGAGCCCACTACTAAATTAAATAACACAATAATTAAGATAATTTCAATAAGTAACTATATAAGTAACCTTGCCTCTGGTCCTGATATTAATTGACAAATACAAATTCTATGTAATTTTGTGTAAAATAAAAAAACGCTATGTTTCTTTAAAAAGTTCAATTTGCACAGGTGAACACTAACGTTTACTGTGTGATTGTATTCAACTCTGTCACCCTAATATACTGCACAGAACATAGCAGTCCCAGAGGCATCAATATCATACTAAGACCAATAACGCCTTCTAAATTTATCTAACTATCAACTCATCGCAAAACAATATTTTGCCAAACCTTTAGTATCTTAAAGCTGATGTTTGTACATGGTTAACATTTATAAATGTGATCAAGTAACATTGTTACATAGGTTTAACCTTGTCAAACAATTGTGGATAGGTCTAGGCAATTTAAACCTGGGTACATTTGAAAGAATATCATAGTAAAGCTTGTGTGTCTTGATCAATTAGCCGCAACTGTTGACCTCCATGGAATACTTTTGTATAGTAGATCAGTTATTATGAGAATAAGGACGACATTAACTTTGAAATTAGTTAAAATATATAAAAGTGTGTTTCCTTTCGGTCACATCAGCCAACGCCACTTTGGCAAGACGGTAGAGCTTGAAATAATAGAAACATGTTGAAACCTTTGCACTGACTTTCATCATCTGACTTTTGGACTATGAGTGTTTCACGCATGAACCAAAACATGTCTTTGACTCTATGTTTCCCAGTGGTGGCAAAGCCAACGGGAAGAGATGTTGTGTTCTTGCTGGATGGATCTGATGGTACTAGAACTGGCTTCCGAGCCATGCAAGACTTTGTCCAAAGAGTAGTAGAGAGACTCAGTGTTGATGATAGCAAAGACCGTGTCGCAGTGGTTCAGTACAGCAGAGAGCCAACTGTCCAGTTCTATTTGAACACATATGGGACAAAAGTCCAGATCCTTGACGTCGTCAAAGGTTTGAGGCACAAAGGCGGAAGACCCCTCAACACTGGAGCAGCTCTCCAGTACTTGAGGGACAATGTTTTCACAGCCTCTGCCGGAAGCAGGCGCCTGGAAGGAGCTCCACAGGTCCTGATACTGCTAAGTGGTGGACGGTCTTCTGACAGTGTTGATGCGGCAGCTTCTGCTCTTAAACAGTTGGGTGTCATGACCTTTGCAATTGGAACCAGGGGATCTGATAGCAGAGAACTGCAGAAGATATCCCACGATGACAATTCTGCTGTCTCTGTGTCTGATTTCACCGACCTTCAACTCATCCAAGAGCAACTTCAGTCCTCTCTGGAGGTTTTGGTTACTGACGTCAAACCTGAATCCCCAACTGAACTTGGTACGTAAACAAGCACTGCCTCTTGGTGTCCTCAAAGGGTTCTTGAGTAGCTCCACCTACCGTGTGGGATATGAATCCAGTGAAGTACCTGTTTTGCTCAATAACTATTTGTTAAAAGAGGCTTCCGTGTACTTCCCTACTGTGAAAGGTTTGAGAACGCAGGCCTTGTCCTTTGCAAAGAAATAGCTCAGCAATTTAGGATTCGAACAAAGGTGTACCTTTTGCAATGTTATTTCATTTTTTGTCTTCCTGTCTTTTCTTAGCTCACACTACCCAAAGGGATATTGTTTTCCTTCTGGATGGCTCTGACAGCACAAGGAATGGCTTCCCCGCTGTGCGTGATTTTGTTGAGAAAGTGGTTGAAAAACTAAATGTGGGCGAAAGAAAAGACCGTGTCTCTGTAGTCCAATACAGCAGAGATGTAGAGGTCCAATTCTATTTGAATACATACACCACAAAAGAAGATATTTTGGATTCGGTAAGAGGGCTGAAGCACAAAGGAGGCAGGCCTCTCAACACCGGGGCTGCCCTTCAATACGTCAGCGACAACGTCTTTACAAACCCCGCCGGGAGTAGGCGCCTGCAAGGTGTTCCGCAGATTTTGATTCTACTAAATGGTGGAAGGTCTTTTGACAATGTAGATACTCCAGCCTCTGTTCTGAAACAGCAGGGCATCATTGTCATTGGCATTGGAACGAGGAACTCTGACAGTGGGGAGCTGCGGAGGGTATCACATGACCCAAATTACACTCTATCTGTGTCGGAATTCACTGAACTCCCCAGTGTCCAAGAACAGATTTCCTCTCTAATGAGCACAGTGCTTGTGAGGGCCACACCCATGACACCAACAGTAACTGGTAAGAGAGTAACTAAATTGACATTTCAAGATTATGGTAGCATTTACTTAAACTGTATAAAAGTGTGTTTCCTTTCGGTCACATCAGCCAACGCCACTTTGGCAAGACGGTAGAGCTTGAAATAATAGAAACATGTTGAAACCTTTGCACTGACTTTCATCATCTGACTTTTGGACTATGAGTGTTTCACGCATGAACCAAAACATGTCTTTGACTCTATGTTTCCCAGTGGTGGCAAAGCCAACGGGAAGAGATGTTGTGTTCTTGCTGGATGGATCTGACGGTACTAGAACTGGATTCCGAGCCATGCAAGACTTTGTCCAAAGAGTAGTAGAGAGACTCAGTGTTGATGATAGCAAAGACCGTGTCGCAGTGGTTCAGTACAGCAGAGAGCCAACTGTCCAGTTCTATTTGAACACATATGGGACAAAAGTCCAGATCCTTGACGTCGTCAAAGGTTTGAGGCACAAAGGCGGAAGACCCCTCAACACTGGAGCAGCTCTCCAGTACTTGAGGGACAATGTTTTCACAGCCTCTGCCGGAAGCAGGCGCCTGGAAGGAGCTCCACAGGTCCTGATACTGCTAAGTGGTGGACGGTCTTCTGACAGTGTTGATGCGGCAGCCTCTGCTCTTAAACAGTTGGGTGTCATGACCTTTGCAATTGGAACCAGGGGATCTGATAGCAGAGAACTGCAGAAGATATCCCACGATGACAATTCTGCTGTCTCTGTGTCTGATTTCACCGACCTTCAACTCATCCAAGAGCAACTTCAGTCCTCTCTGGAGGTTTTGGTTACTGACGTCAAACCTGAATCCCCAACTGAACTTGGTACGTAAACAAGCACTGCCTCTTGGTGTCCTCAAAGGGTTCTTGAGTAGCTCCACCTACCGTGTGGGATATGAATCCAGTGAAGTACCTGTTTTGCTCAATAACTATTTGTTAAAAGAGGCTTCCGTGTACTTCCCTACTGTGAAAGGTTTGAGAACGCAGGCCTTGTCCTTTGCAAAGAAATAGCTCAGCAATTTAGGATTCGAACAAAGGTGTACCTTTTGCAATGTTATTTCATTTTTTGTCTTCCTGTCTTTTCTTAGCTCACACTACCCAAAGGGATATTGTTTTCCTTCTGGATGGCTCTGACAGCACAAGGAATGGCTTCCCCGCTGTGCGTGATTTTGTTGAGAAAGTGGTTGAAAAACTAAATGTGGGCGAAAGAAAAGACCGTGTCTCTGTAGTCCAATACAGCAGAGATGTAGAGGTCCAATTCTATTTGAATACATACACCACAAAAGAAGATATTTTGGATTCGGTAAGAGGGCTGAAGCACAAAGGAGGCAGGCCTCTCAACACCGGGGCTGCCCTTCAATACGTCAGCGACAACGTCTTTACAAACCCCGCCGGGAGTAGGCGCCTGCAAGGTGTTCCGCAGATTTTGATTCTACTAAATGGTGGAAGGTCTTTTGACAATGTAGATACTCCAGCCTCTGTTCTGAAACAGCAGGGCATCCTTGTCATTGGCATTGGAACGAGGAACTCTGACAGTGGGGAGCTGCGGAGGGTATCACATGACCCAAATTACACTCTATCTGTGTCGGAATTCACTGAACTCCCCAGTGTCCAAGAACAGATTTCCTCTCTAATGAGCACAGTGCTTGTCAGGGCCACACCCATGACACCAACAGTAACTGGTAAGAGAGTAACTAAATTGACATTTCAAGATTATGGTAGCATTTACTTAAACTGTATAAAAGTGTGTTTCCTTTCGGTCACATCAGCCAACGCCACTTTGGCAAGACGGTAGAGCTTGAAATAATAGAAACATGTTGAAACCTTTGCACTGACTTTCATCATCTGACTTTTGGACTATGAGTGTTTCACGCATGAACCAAAACATGTCTTTGACTCTATGTTTCCCAGTGGTGGCAAAGCCAACGGGAAGAGATGTTGTGTTCTTGCTGGATGGATCTGACGGTACTAGAACTGGATTCCGAGCCATGCAAGACTTTGTCCAAAGAGTAGTAGAGAGACTCAGTGTTGATGATAGCAAAGACCGTGTCGCAGTGGTTCAGTACAGCAGAGAGCCAACTGTCCAGTTCTATTTGAACACATATGGGACAAAAGTCCAGATCCTTGACGTCGTCAAAGGTTTGAGGCACAAAGGCGGAAGACCCCTCAACACTGGAGCAGCTCTCCAGTACTTGAGGGACAATGTTTTCACAGCCTCTGCCGGAAGCAGGCGCCTGGAAGGAGCTCCACAGGTCCTGATACTGCTAAGTGGTGGACGGTCTTCTGACAGTGTTGATGCGGCAGCTTCTGCTCTTAAACAGTTGGGTGTCATGACCTTTGCAATTGGAACCAGGGGATCTGATAGCAGAGAACTGCAGAAGATATCCCACGATGACAATTCTGCTGTCTCTGTGTCTGATTTCACCGACCTTCAACTCATCCAAGAGCAACTTCAGTCCTCTCTGGAGGTTTTGGTTACTGACGTCAAACCTGAATCCCCAACTGAACTTGGTACGTAAACAAGCACTGCCTCTTGGTGTCCTCAAAGGGTTCTTGAGTAGCTCCACCTACCGTGTGGGATATGAATCCAGTGAAGTACCTGTTTTGCTCAATAACTATTTGTTAAAAGAGGCTTCCGTGTACTTCCCTACTGTGAAAAGTTTGAGAACGCAGGCCTTGTCCTTTGCAAAGAAATAGCTCAGCAATTTAGGATTCGAACAAAGGTGTACCTTTTGCAATGTTATTTCATTTTTTGTCTTCCTGTCTTTTCTTAGCTCACACTACCCAAAGGGATATTGTTTTCCTTCTGGATGGCTCTGACAGCACAAGGAATGGCTTCCCCGCTGTGCGTGATTTTGTTGAGAAAGTGGTTGAAAAACTAAATGTGGGCGAAAGAAAAGACCGTGTCTCTGTAGTCCAATACAGCAGAGATGTAGAGGTCCAATTCTATTTGAATACATACACCACAAAAGAAGATATTTTGGATTCGGTAAGAGGGCTGAAGCACAAAGGAGGCAGGCCTCTCAACACCGGGGCTGCCCTTCAATACGTCAGCGACAACGTCTTTACAAACCCCGCCGGGAGTAGGCGCCTGCAAGGTGTTCCGCAGATTTTGATTCTACTAAATGGTGGAAGGTCTTTTGACAATGTAGATACTCCAGCCTCTGTTCTGAAACAGCAGGGCATCATTGTCATTGGCATTGGAACGAGGAACTCTGACAGTGGGGAGCTGCGGAGGGTATCACATGACCCAAATTACACTCTATCTGTGTCGGAATTCACTGAACTCCCCAGTGTCCAAGAACAGATTTCCTCTCTAATGAGCACAGTGCTTGTGAGGGCCACACCCATGACACCAACAGTAACTGGTAAGAGAGTAACTAAATTGACATTTCAAGATTATGGTAGCATTTACTTAAACTGTATAAAAGTGTGTTTCCTTTCGGTCACATCAGCCAACGCCACTTTGGCAAGACGGTAGAGCTTGAAATAATAGAAACATGTTGAAACCTTTGCACTGACTTTCATCATCTGACTTTTGGACTATGAGTGTTTCACGCATGAACCAAAACATGTCTTTGACTCTATGTTTCCCAGTGGTGGCAAAGCCAACGGGAAGAGATGTTGTGTTCTTGCTGGATGGATCTGATGGTACTAGAACTGGCTTCCGAGCCATGCAAGACTTTGTCCAAAGAGTAGTAGAGAGACTCAGTGTTGATGATAGCAAAGACCGTGTCGCAGTGGTTCAGTACAGCAGAGAGCCAACTGTCCAGTTCTATTTGAACACATATGGGACAAAAGTCCAGATCCCTCACTAATATCTTGACGCATTGTTAACTGTATTGAAGTGTACTAATGAGACTTATGAGAATCATTATTTTCTTTTAGTCTTGCCTTCATTAGTAGAAATATTTATGCAGACCTTGAAACATCTTTTTTCTTTTGATTTATTTTGTGAAAAAACCTTTGACAAATGAAATACACCTTAGTCAAATCCTCGGTCGAGAGACCGCTAAAAGGAAATTATGTTTTTTTCTTATTGAGTGGATACAATGGTACTTGAACGTGATTCCCAGCTCTAAGGTACTCGTTCAGCCTGCCTCTAAAACAAGGAATGCTGATATTTTATAGTATTTATTTATTGTTTCCTTTAATCATATTCATTCATTCATTCATTTATAGTTTTCCTTTAATCATATTCATTCATATTCATTTTTGTGTCTGTGTGGATAATTTAAGCATACAGTGATTAAAAGTTGTGAGATGTATTATGGATGTGATCTTCTTCAGCCATCCATTACATTCACTAGGACTCATAGTTATGGTAATTTCCTGCAGTGTCTTAGTTTAAATTGCCTTCTTAACCTGTTACAGATGACCACAAATTTGAATATAGAAACACTACATATGGTTTATGGAAGTATGGGCTAAACCAGGGGCTGCAGACTAGTACTAGACCAGTAGGTTACCGTTCCATGGGCCATTTAGTACCGGGCCGCACCACAGAAAGATATTTTTTTTGTCATTTGACTTTTTTTTCTAAAATTTTGAAAAATGTTTCATTTTGAAAATTTACTGGATTTTCCCCTAATTACATGCACTTACATGCGCTCGTTCCCCTAGACATATTTCCTAGACGTTTTTCACCTTATACTCGCTGCGCTTAGCCCTCTAGCGGACAAAGAGCATCGTGTTTATCCACCACACCTTCTACACCGGTCCACGAAATATTGTCTAACATGAAAACGGTCTGTGAGGTGAAAAAAGTTAGGGGACCCTGGGCTAAACCGTTCACCATATTATCAATTGAAGAAAGAGTCCAACAATCCTTTTAATAGACAATCAAACATGGCTCTATCCTTTCTTTGATTCTGTAATTTCTGTCATTTTATATAATTTCCATATTTTGATAATTTCCCAATTAGGTTACAATAATCTAACCTTTTCTGTCTTTCAGTGGAGATGCAGGGCCCCCAGAAGGATGTCGTTTTTCTTGTTGATGGATCTGATGGCGTTGGAATGGAATTTCCTATCATTCGGGAGTTTATCCGCAGGGTTGTAGAGAGTCTCAATGTGGGCGAGAATAAGATCCGGATTGGTGTCGTCCAGTATGGTGACTCTGCTCAAGCTGACATGTTTCTGAATGCACATAAAACTAAAGAAAGTGTTTTGCAAGCTGTCAGGGGAATCAACCAGCGAGGGGGACGACAGCGTAATCTGGGTCAGGCCTTGCAGTTTGTCAAGCAGGATGTTCTGACAGCAACACGTGGTAGCAGGAAGGCAGAGGGTGTACCTCAGTTCGTAATTGTCATCTCCAGCGGGTCCTCAACAGATGACATCCGTAGTGCGGCGTCTTCCCTCAAACAATCCAGAGTTCTTCCTTTCAGCATCGGGACCAGGGATGTCAATCCTACAGAACTTCAGACCGTGTCATACGTGCCTAACTTTGCTTTTGCTATCGATGACCTTCCTGGCCTTTACACAGTAAAAGAAAACTTAATCACCACCCTCACCGAGCTGTCAGATGCGGATATCACCAGGATGCGTCCAGTATTCCCAACAACTGAAGGTAATCACTTAAATCGTTAAAATTAGGATTTTCAGCCTAAATACATTCTTGCACACCCTGACCCTCTTACTTTGCTTATCCTCTATCTATAATAGAACTCTGTGAACTCTAAATATATTAATTATACCTTGTTGTTGTTCTTGCATTCTTTTTGAACAGTGATCACAACACCCACTGGAGGAGAAAAGAGGGATGTTGTATTTCTGATAGATGGCACCACAACTGTGCGTAATGAGTTCCCTTCCATCCGTGAAATGATAACAAGAGTTGTGGGGAAGCTGGATGTAGGATTGGATAAGGTCAGAATTTCAGTGGTTCAGTACAGTGATGTACCGAAGCTTGAATTTCTTCTCAATGAATTCTCCACCAAAGACGAGGTACGCCAGGCTGTGACAAAACTTCAAAGCAAAGGCGGGGAACGTCTAAACACAGGTGCCGCTCTTGAGTGGGTCTATAGAAATATCTACCAGAGGTCAGCAGGAAGCCGCATTGAGGATGGTGTGCCCCAGTTCCTCATTCTAGTTACAGGTGGAAAGTCGACAGATGATGTGTCCGCTTCAGCTGAACAACTTAAGAGAAACCAGGTTGCACCTCTTGCCATTGGTTCAAGAAATGCAGACCCTGATGAATTGAGACTGATTTCACTGAAGCCTGAACTGGTATATACAGTTGACAGTTTCCGGCAGCTGTCAAGAGTGGAGTCGCAGCTAATTGATTCAGTCAAAACAATATCCACCACTGACCCTTATGTTCCTCCAGACGTCTTTGGTAAGAAATACTTGACTTGTAAAATTACTCAACTAAACAACATCGACTTTGAACAATGAGTTATGTTATTTTAGTTATTTACGTATAATGTCTTTTCTAATACAAACAATACTGCTTTTTTTTGCTCATTTTGCAGATGTACCAAATCTTGGGAGAAAGGACATTATTTTCCTTATTGATGGCTCAGACAACACGGGTGTTGGGGGCTTAGCCCATATTCGTGACTTCATCCTTAACATTGTCCAACAACTCGACGTGCAGCCTGATCAAGTGCGCGTAGGGGTTGTCCAGTACGCAGACCAAGTCAAAACAGAGTTCTCACTCAACTCTCACAACAACAAGCCAGCTGTTGTCTCCGCTATTAAAAGACTTCGTCAGATGGGTGGCCGGTCTTCAGATCTGGCTGATGCCATTACCTATGTTCAACGGAATGAGTTAAAACCTGCTTCAGGGGTTCGTCCAGAGGCCTCCCAGCATCTTGTGGTACTCACAGGTGGACGTTCTCCTCAAGATGTTTCCATCTACGGACCTCTGCTTAAAGGAGCTCGTGTCAACTGCATTGGTGTTGGGGCTGCTAATGCCGACACAAAGCAGCTAACCCAAATAGCCACAACCTCAGCTGATGTCCTCAAGGTTCCTGACTTCAGTGGCCTGCAAGCAATCCGTGAGGTGCTTATTGACAGGTTGATTGGGACCATTACTGAGGAACCACCAAGAGGTTTGTGTAATATAATATAATGAACATATTTTTCTCAAGGTATTCTTTTGTTTTCAGCCTTATTCCTCTTGTCCTCATCAATATCTTATATTCTCTCTCCTAGGACCTGACCCACCTCCACAAAAAAAAGCTGATATAGTGTTTTTGGTAGATGGCTCCATTAACTTAGGCAAGAACAACTTCAATGAAGTTATGTTGTTTATTACCAACCTAATTGATCTGTTCTTCAACGAGAGAGACGACCTGCGGATCGGTCTGGCACATTATGCCACAGATGTTACTGACGTCTTCTATCTCAACACATACCAGAACCGGGAGGACATTTTAAGTGCAATTGGCCGAGCACAATATAAAGGTGGACGTAGAATAAATACTGGTGCAGCCATACGCCACGCTCAAAATGTTCACTTTACCAAAGGAAAAGGCAGCAGAATGGATGAGGGCACTCCTCAAATCCTAATGGTAGTCACTGGAGGTCGCTCAGCTGATGATGGTAAAACAGCCGCCCTGGGTCTAAAGCAGAAAGGTGTGAGAATCTTTGCTGTAGGAGTAGGCGACATTGAGAATGAATTAGAAAACTTAGCGAGTGAGGCTTCCACTGTGGCTAGAGCAAGGACCTTTCAGGAACTGTCAGAGCTTAATGAGCAAATTCTGGAGACTTTGGACGATGAAGTGAAAGGCAGTCTGTGTCATGGTGGAGAGGAAACCTCTAAAAGTAAGGGACATGGTTTTGTTATTTACTTGCTAATGGACTTAATGGACACATATCATTTGCAACTTGTCATTAAACATTTCAGTTCCCAGATATTTTCTGTGGTTCTAAACAAAAGAAACTCTATACTTGTCTTACAGCCTGCAGCATAGAGGTGTTGGTGGGCTTTGATGTTTCTGCCCAGAACATCTTCAATGCTCAGACCAACCTCCAGATGAAGGTTGACGCCATTCTGAATAGGATTTCCCAATCGGCAGCTATCAGTTGCTCATCTGGGCAGATTCCCTCTGTGCAAATTGGCATGCTGGCCTTAGACTCGGCTTCTGAGCCGGTCCAGCTGGACTTCACAGACAGGGTTGGTGAGCTCTTTGAGGCATTCAAAGCCCTACGGAATCGTGGCCCCTTTGTCCTCAATGGCAAGACCATCTCAGCTTACACAAATAGCTTCAAAACCAGAGAGGCTGGCATTGTCAAGGTTGGTTACTGAAATCCTTACAACTAGAAATGTCTCAAGCCCAAACAACATTGCAAAATTGAATCAGAAACTGCAGTATTTGGATCATTTTCATCATGAAAAATATGTTGATATACTTTTTAAGTGTCAGATACATACTTAGTATAGGATCAAACAAAAAACTGAAACTGTAACGTGTTCTTTTCCTAAAGGTTGTTATTCATCTTACTGATGGTATTGATGCCCCATTTGATGAATTGAAAAAGCAAGTTGAGGAGCTTCGTTTGTCAGGTAAAAAGATGATATAGTATAGACAGCCCTTCATCAACTATCCTTAAACCTCTGTTAAATTATAGCAGTATCATTGTAAGAAGCATTTTATTTTCCTGAATCCCTGCAAAACAGGAGTGAGCAGTTTCATCCTGGTCGGCCTTGAGCGAGTTCCCAAATTTGAGGAAGCTTTGCTGCTGGAATTTGGTCGTGGATTCAGGTACACCAGACCTTTACGACTCAACATCCTGGACTTGGACGATGAGCTAACTGAAGAACTGGTGAGTATTAATCAGTTAGACGTAAGAATTTCATGAGCCTTTTGTCCCCTTGAATCACTCAGTATTTGTTTTTATTTTGGTGCGTAGGATCATATTGCAGAGAGGGAGTGCTGTAATGTGCCATGCAAATGCAGTGGCACCAGAGGAAACAGAGGAGCAGGTGGAGACTCAGGGACTAAGGTATTCAATGTTAAAAAGTGATCTTTCCTTTAATTTTACCAGAAAATGGTTTGTCCGATGCTAATTCTTCAATGTTTTTGGTCTTTTAGGGGGATCCGGGATCACCAGGAAGCCAAGGACATCCTGGAGATGAGGGTGGACCTGTACGTTTGAATGTCTTTCAAACCAATGTCGTAGAATAGTAGCATGAAAATGTTTCTTTGAGATATCTTGTGACTGTAAACCGTCTTGATCCCTGATTTCAGTTTAACCATATTTTTAAAATCAAGATGTACAGTTAGAACTTGTCTTTGTGTTCTTTCATATTGCATCCCTCTTTTATTTTGTCATAGTATTGATTGTGTTTTTCATTGTCCTGTAATGACAGGGAGAGAGAGGTCCTCCTGGGGTTAATGGAACTCAGGGTTTCCAGGGATGTCCTGGACAAAGAGGTGTCAAGGTAAAGGCTTTGCTATTAACTGTTACTTTAAACTGTAATTATTATCATTTTTCATTTATTTGATTGTGGTGTGACACTATTTATATTGTTTTCTTCAGGGTTCTCGCGGTTACTCAGGAGAAAAGGTGAGTATTTTTCTTACATTTTTCATAGTCTCAATTTGCCAATAAATGAAAAAAGTCTACTGATTAAGTGACGTCCACTGTATTGCAGGGTGACTTTGGAGAAATTGGACTTGATGGCATCAATGGAGAAGAAGTAAGTCTGTGTTCTATTAGATGTAGTCATCGAGTCCATTTCATTAAAATATATTAAATCATAGAGATTAATACACGCCTGCTTTTTGTCCTTAGCCGTCTCAGACGCATGAATATAAACTGGATTATTCATGTGGGATTTAATTGGTATTTGCTGGATGATTTCAGGGCAAAGGTGGAGTGGCCGGACCCCCAGGAGACCGAGGAAACGCTGGCAGGAGAGTGAGTGATAGGATAAAAATTTAGCTTTGCATTTCTTCCTACCCATTTTTCTTTCAATCTCAAATCGTTAGAAATGATAAATGCTTACTGTGCATATTTTTTGATTTTAGGGTCCCAAAGGCACAAAAGGACAAGTAGGAGACAGAGGAGAAGTGGGATTCAGAGGAGACCCTGTAAGTATTATGGAAACTGGATTTACTGCTATTTCCATTTCCATGTCCAAATCAATCAAAAAATATATATTGTAAATTACAAAAACACAAACTAACAATTATTGAGGAATTATTATGTACATTGATATCTTGATTGCTTGTAACTGGATTTGCATGCACACAGTGCAGTTTTTTAGAGTGTTTGAATCTACAATTGAAAAATGTATATCTGTCTAATAGGGTGTAGGCGGAAAAAATAACAACAGCACCGGACCTAAAGGAGACGCTGGTGATGCTGGACTAGCGGTAATGTCCCCCTTCACACGTTGTATCCAATGCATTTTCAACATTTTGGTTGCGTTTGCGTGTGTTTGTTTCATTTGGGATATCTGTTCTGAAATGACAGGGAAGGCCTGGTCAGGATGGACAGAAGGGGGGCCCCGGTGAACTCGGCAGACCGGTAAACGAGATTGCCACGTCTTCATTATCCTTGCTACATACAGACTTGCCACTGTTTTTTATTAATCGTGATTTCTGCTCCCACTTCATTAGGGAGCTAAAGGAAGAAGAGGCTCACATGGGCAGGCTGTAAGTCCCTTTTTGGTGAAACCATACATTGGTTAATACTCATTCAGAAACTCTTGTAATGGCAGTAACATTTGACTGCTTGCGTGTGTGTCATTTAAGGGTATTCCCGGAAAAGCAGGTGATGATGGCGTTCAAGGAGAACCTGGTATAGGAGGATCAAGAGTAAGTTTCTCGTTCTTTCACAGCAATTGAAAAATTATTTAATTGTCAAATTCACTTGCCAAATCATGTTTTAAAGTGGATGTTTCTTGGCAGTATCAGTGATACAACAAATTGTTTTACTGGACTCTGACTGGTATATTTAAATGACTTTTGACTGGACCGTAACTGATATATATTGTATATTTCAAAGTGTTTATTTTTTGAAAAGAAAAAAGTATAAATATTCAAATAAAGTTTGAAAAATTCCAGCTCTGATATGCAATGAACTGGTGGGTCATCAATGTTTGGTTTGTCTCTTTTAAGGGTCCTCCAGGACCAAACGGTGCACCGGGACCCAGAGGAGAAGATGGAAACGCTGGACCCAGAGTAGGAACCTTTTAAGTTCATTTTATTAAAGGGAATATTTAGCTAAAGTCATACATTTTTATGGCTCACATTTACAACTCACATCAGTTTTATGTATATAGCGCACACGGAGCAGATATAACAAAATCAAATTTCACAAACAAGCAATAACTTGCAATGGCACACCGGCTGAACTGACTGAGCATCATGTGCAAAGTGCTCTATTTTTATAAAAGGAGTGTCTTCTAATATCCTCATATTTTGTTTCTTAGGGTCCCGGAGGGGATCCAGGTCCCGCTGGAGATAGGGGTAGAAGAGGAGCTCTTGGTCGCAAGGTTTGAGTTGAAGATTTATCTGGTGTGGCTTATGTTACTTAGTAAAATACTTGTTATTCACAGACTTATGTCTCTCACAATACTGGACACACGTGTAGTCTATTTGAGCAAAAAACATGATGATAAGAAAACATCAAATTGGCTTTGGTTCGAATGCAAAAAAAGGATAGCTACTTGATTGAATATGTCATTTATTTTGAAGACATGACATATTATTTATCTCAACCAATCTCTGTCTGCATCCCGTTATCTGTTGTCCTTTGCAGGGTGAACCAGGAGATCCAGGACCGAAGGGTGTTATAGGGCCGCTTGGTCCCCGCGGAGAGTCGGTAAGAATGAAACCACATCTACTTTTCAAGTACAATAAACCGTCTTGAATGTATCACAATATTAAATGGTTAAAAACTGTTTTTGTCCTTGTGCGCTTTCTAGGGTGAAGATGGGAGAGATGGGTTTGGCGTTCAAGGGCCTAAAGGAAGAAAGGCAAGTGAATTGTGTAGCGTGCACTCTAATGAGAATATATATGTTTCGTTTTATTTAAGTTTCCTTGAATTTTAATTTAGCGGCACGTATCTATGTGTGAGAATGTATTGAAATATCACCCTTTTGAATAAACCGCTGGCCTGTTTTTGGCTTCTGCTCCGAAAATGGCCTACCCATGATAAAAGTGTAATAACTGTGGAACTACTTTGTTTATCTGGACAATTACTTTTCAGTCAGGATAGGAAACTCCTGAGTGTTCTGATGTGTAAAAATCAGTTTATATGTTACCGGTGAAGAAATAATTCAATATAACACAACACGCAGAGAAATGTCAGGCTCTGGTTGGCTGATTCACACGTTTCAACCACTGTTTTTGGTTGTCACCCCCATTTAATTGATCAAATTCATAATTTCAAAGGTAAGGAGAATGTATGATTCATATGATTGGATGCTTGGTGGTTATTTTACTCTGGCTTCGGCAAGGTTTTTCTGGGCTAGCGATGAAAAAAGTGTGTGTCCATGTTATCTGGACTAATTTGACATATTTTCTAACTTGTTGGAGTTGGAGTGGAGATTGTAGCTAAGATGTCTCAATTGGTGTGGGGCATTAATATACTTGTTCGTGATGAGTACAAGATATTCCTGTTGGGAGATGATTCTGGCTCGGCTTTGGACCAAGTATGATGATGCTCAGGTTGAATTTTAAATAACAAACAGCAATAAAAAGAAGAATTAGATGGCGTTCTATAGCTGTTAGTCCAATTACAATTTTCGTTTAAGACGTCCAAAGTCCTGTCCCATACACATTTATAGATCCTTGCTGTCTTGATGAATAAGTAAATGCCATGGCTACGGCCATGTAAAGAGGCAATTTTCTCACTGCACCACTATAACCTGTCTCAAGATAAATGCAGTTAGATAATAATGAAAAAATAATACTGTATGTTCGGCATGTATTATAATAGTATGTATGTTTTTTTTTCTCTTCAGGGTGATGCAGGCTTCCCAGGGTTCCCAGGACCAAAGGTAATGAGAAGGAAAGTTACATTTCATCAGAGGCCTTACATTATAGAACATCATCATTCTCTGTCCTTCCATCATCTCAGGCTCCAGCTGGTGTACCCGGCACGATGGGAGGACCTGGACGCAAAGGGAATCCTGGACAGGGGGTACGTCTTCAGACCCTCTTTAGATTTAACCAAAATGAGTATCATTTTATGAGTATCATCAAAATGTGACTGTATGGAAACTCTCACTAAGCCTCAATGGACACATATGTTTGTTGTGATACAGTAGAATTCTGTTTTGCAAGGTTTTGATTTAGATTGATAGTATGCAGTCTTGGAAATCATAACTATTTTCTAACTATATATAGGGTAGGCTTGCCTTGCCTTGACTATTGACTGTTGGATAGCTTTAAAAGTGAATGTTTCTCTGTTTTCTTTCCAGGGTATCTCTGGGAATATTGGCACACCGGGACCAAAGGGAGATTTTGGATACCCTGGGCCATATGTAAGCAACATAAAAAAATGTTGATGACATGCACTCATTGCAGAATATTTATAGTTCCAGAAGAAAATATACCATATTGTAGACTTCTGTTTGAGTTTTTTCATTGATTCTCATCACTAAAATTGACAACAGATGGGTGGCCTGATGGCTAGGGTAAGGGTGCATACAGCATGGCTTCAAATGCCAAATAGTCCTTTTTGCTTAGGAAGGTTCCAAACTAAGTGAAATGACCCGGAAGTACAGTAAGTGGCCGGTATGATAAGAGCTGTTTGAATTCTCTAAATGTTAAGGAAAACGAGCTTCAATGCTTCTTTATTTAGCTCCTTTAGCATAGGAACGACTGGACCTTCCTCTAAGAAGGTCCTAAAATTTGCCGCTGCAGACTGACATCACTAACATGCGCCTCCCGTCGCATCGTAACTACGTAGCTGAGTGAAAGTCGGATTCCCTAAACACAGCGGGTGTCTTTTCCTAACTCCTCATGAGTTCCCCATACCATCTTTCCTTGACCCTGTGACATTTTTCCACAGTGGTCAAGGAAAGTATGTAGGAATAGACGTTGAGGTAATGTTTTGGACAAAACCAGCCCCAGCCCCTAAATGTCCACCCACATTTCCTGTCTGTCTCCAAACTGTCAGATAAAGGTACAAAATAAAAGACTTAGAACTCATAGTTTACACTCCACAATGTCTTATTGTTACACTCTTAGCAGTAAATTACAAAACTGCTGTTATAACACAACTATTTCTTTCCCCACAGGGACAGAAAGGCCCGAGAGGACCAGGCGTTGTGGTATGTGCTTGTGTATCAAACCGTTGGAAATTGTAATTAATGATCAGGGCCAAAGTCATTGCTGGTGCCTGTGATCAAAATCTTTTTTTTAAATGTCTTCAAATATCTGTGTCCTCAGCAATGTGACCTGGTTAAGAAGATCAGAGAAAACTGTCGTAAGTATAATTTAACAAATACCAATAATGAGAACAAAAATAAGCATGATATCCATGGGTTGTGTACAATACCACAATAACTTCTGATGTTTCTTTTGCCCCTTTTTATACCAGCCTGCTGTTATGGTAAGTACAAAAAATATTGTATTATTCAGATAACATAATTCTAAACTGTACGCACTGAGAAAAAAATGCTCTATCTGTACACCATTAGGTCAGCAGGAATGCCCGCTCTATCCCACTGAGCTGGCCTTTGCCTTGGATGCTTCTGAAGGTGTTGGCCGCCCGGCCTTCAACAATATGCGAGAAACAGTCCTGCGTCTAGTCAGAGAAATCACCATCTCCGAGAGTAGCTGTCCAAGAGGAGCCCGTGTTGCTTTAACCCTCTACAACAATGAAGTAACCACTGAGGTTCGGTTCGCTGATGCAATGAAGAAACGCGTCCTGTTGCAGCGCATTGAGGGACTTCAGACCCTGCAGACCCGGAAGCAGCGCAGCTTGGACACAGCCATGAGCTTTTTGGCCCACAACACCTTTAAGAGAGTGCGCAGCGGCTTCCTCATGAGGAAGGTGGCCATTTTCTTCGTTGGAGGGACAGTCAGTCAGGCACAAACAGTCACCAACGCAGCTCTTCGCCTCCACGACGCCGGAATTGCCACTCTGTTTCTGGTGCCTCGTGAGGACCGAGCTCTTAGCAGAGCGCTGGAGGTAAACCAAAAAACCTATGTCCAATACCGTAACTTTGCTATACAAGTGTTTGTAAGGCATTTGCACAGTGTGATTTTGCCTTTTTGTGCACCAGGTCAACAACACAGCACTGGCCCAAGTGATTGTCCTTCCAAATGCTGGAAGTGCACAGTACAATTCAGTAATCCAGAAGGTGATGAACTGCCATGTCTGCTTTGGTAAGAGTTTGATGTTTGTGCACTAATAGTATCACTACAGCTATGGCGCACATTTTTTTAATTATTATTAAATATATTTAATGATATTATTAATATATAATATATTATATTATTGGACCATTTGTTTCATGTTTTGACTGAAAAATAACAATGTCTTGATCAGGCTATTATCCAGATGTGATCCTTCTTTTTTTGCGTTAATTCATTATTTTATGATGCATAAATGATTTTATGATGCTTATCATGCAAGTCAAAATATCAAAATATCAAATTTATTTCTGAAAAAATCTGAAATGTTCTCCAATAGTTTATTCTAACCTTGTAGCAATCAATCAAAGTAACATTTCATTATGTGTTTACCTTTTTCAGACATTTGCTCTCCGGACCAAATGTGTGACTATGTTCCACCATCGTCCGGTCGAGATAGGAGGTCCTCAACCACAGACGTGGACATCGACATGGCTTTCGTCATCGACAGCTCTGAGTCTACCTACCCAACAGTTTTCACAGAGATTAAGCGTTACATTGCACACATAGTGGAGCAGCTGCAGGTGTCTTCAAATCCCACATCTTCCGTTAACCACGCCAGAGTGTCCGTGATTCAGCAAGCACCTTACAAGTTCCTCCACAACAAAACTGGCTCCGCCATCCATGTGGACATTGGTTTAACCGATCACCACTCAGCTCAGGACTTTGTCAAATTTCTACTGGAGAAGACACCACAGTTAGAGGGTGGCCGGGCGCTGGCAGCAGCTATCGAATCCACAGTGGAGCAGGTGTTTGAGAAGGCGCCTCTCCACCGTGACAGGAAAGTGCTGATGTTCTTTGTGACAGGGAGTGTGGAAGAAGAAGAGGTGCCGCTTTTGCGTATTGCCACTGAGGTCAAGTGCAGAGGCTACTTCCTGGTCATCCTGGGCGTTGGTGACAAGTTGAGTGCAGGAGATACCCGTGTCTTGTCACTCATGGCCAGCGAGCCGTCAGATGTCTTCTTCAAGCGTCTAGACAGCATCTCGGAATTTTATGACAAAAACATCCAGACCTTTGGCCAGCTTTTGCCAAAGTATATCAGCAGTAAGTCCAAGCAGGATACCTGTCAACCAATCAGTTGGCTAAACTATTTACCAGTTACTGTACCAACTAAACCTGAAATACTATCTTCTGTTATTTTTCTTTTCAGTCGAAAATGCTTTCTACATGTCCCCTGAAGTCTCCAAAAACTGCAAGTGGTTCCAGAGTGACCAACCACTTAAAAACCCCTTTACACCATCACAACAACAGGAGTAAGTTCTAGTTTTGATGACATGGCACTTATTTTCATTTAATTGGTTGAAAACAGGAATGCTATAATTTGTTATTCATTGGTTCATTTACAGGAAACATCAGAAACATCATGAAAAACAACAAGAAGTTCATCAAAGAAAGCACAACGGTTAGTGTCCATATGTACTATAGTAACATATGGACGGGTTGACACTTTTCTTCTTTACTTTGAGTCATGCATAGCTAAATGCCCGTCAACAAGGGATTTGGCTGTGCATTGTCCTGCCTTAATACCACTTTATCCAACCCTCCTCCCTTCAGATGCCGATGAGCTGCACGTCTCCAACGTCACATCCAGTAGCTTGAAATTGCGTTGGACCGGCCCAGACCCCAAGCTCTTTGTCTACTACGAGGTTGTGGTGACTCGGCTGCATGACCACGCTCTGGTGCTGAAGACCAACGTGTCAGACGTCGAGCTTTCGGTGGACAACTTAGAAAGTGCCCAAACATATCATCTTGTGGTCTACGCCCACAATGCAGAGGGTGAAACTGTCTCTACCCGCAAAGGCATCATTACTACCAGTAAGTTCCTAATACTTTTCCTTTCACAAGATGACAGTTTGATTAAACGAGTCATTTCTGATGCCCCATAACACACAATATGCTGATATAGTCCACTGAATGTACAGGGTTTCAGTAACTTCATCATTTGAATCTTCACTTAAGGCTAAATGTTGGTAAAACTGTTCTGTTACAGAAGCAGCAGATCACAAGCCAGAGCATAAGCACGCTAACCAAAGCCCGAGCACTGTGAGCACCGCACCACTGGACAAACCAGAAACAGGTGAGTGATCGCACATAAGTATGCGCGTGTGTTGGAGTATCGATATTGTTTTTTTTCTTACGCACTGACCTTTATTCTGTAATTTTAAACATGCATATCTTGTTAATAAGCAGCAAAAAGATGTCGTCTTTGAACTTTCAGCACAAATCAATACTTAATGTTTAGTCTTTATATACACCTTTACATGTTGCTTGTATGTATTTGGCTGTGTTTCCTGGGCTGAGTGTTGGCAAAATACATTATCCCTGAGGTGCTGTATTGCACTCAAATATACAAATTAATCAACTCCGTGGAAGGCCTACATGCCAAGATATAGTAAGTCGTACAGCTGAAATTCAGTCTGACAAACAACAGGGTCAAAATAGCATTCTCTGTGTCAGTTGGAAATAAATGCATATTGTTAGAGGGGAAGATAAAAGCAATGGAGATGTCTGTAAAGATATTTAATTTATTAATTTATTTTAAAGAAGGACGCCTTACAGCTGCTGTTTCTTAGAAGAGAGAACATCTATAAAGGCTAAACAGGCTCTGTTTTGACAACCCATTGTGAGCTGCTTCATATGGACCCTACAGTTCCACATTTCTGTGCCAAAAAGGGATTGACATAGAATACAGCCATTGGGTTTATCACATTGTAAACAGCTGTGATGGCGTGTTTCAGGGGTGAGTTGTGGGATTGGTCACGTGCATGCATAACAGAGTTAGATCTAACTTTCTAATCAAGAACTAGATCTAATTTTTCTAAAACCCAGACTCAAACCTTTTTCTTTCTACTGATCTCATTTTTGGACGTCCAAACTCCTAATAGTGCCAGCAAACAGATTCCTCTGAATAATGTTATATCATCTTTAATGCTGTTCCCTTTGCATTACGAGAATGAACTATTTTAGCTCTAAGACTCTTTTGACTCCATTTGACATGTTTAAACACCCCTCAGCTGCAGATATCAATCTAACCATCAGCAGCACCTTCTTTTCACAGAAAAGCGGGAATTGCATCTTTTTGCCTAAGTAAGTGTGTAGGGAGGTTAAAATAGGAGAATAGTAAACAATCGTACATCATTTTTAACAGATGACGATTACAACTGAGTAAAAGTCTTAGGTCATTTAGATCCACATTACAGCGTGTTGAAAAACCTGTGGATAGCTTTCCAGCTGGTGAAAAGTTGGTTTCTTTAAGCTTAATTCACATTCACGCTTTTTGGTTTCCACAGTGCCGGAGCCTCAGCCAGAAGAGCAGCAGGCTGAAAAAGTGCAGATCCTCCCGAATCCTGGTGAGCTTTGATCTACTTACTGAACAAGAGAATAATATAAATGTTCCTAACCCGTTTAGAAGACATAACTGACTTTCAGGTTGGTAAACTTGAACTCTGCAAAATGCAAAATGCAAAGTTGTTGCAAATGAATTCCAATGTGAAGTACCTCCTTCCTGGTCTAGTTTCAAATAAGCAAATCCTCACACCCAAAACATGATAAAAATCTGGCGCAACAAACAGTTAGCTTTGATGGAAGTGCTTTTGTTCCATTTACAAACATTTACAAGCACAATATCGATTACTATTCAATAAAAACTAACAGGTCACCGGCAATGTGCTGGCATCACCTCTTCATTACTAGTTAGTACATACAATGCTAATAATATATTTAGCGATGACTGCAACGTATAATGTTCATATTTAAAGGTATATACAACATGACCGTTTGTGTATTAATTACCCCTGTGTTACCTGCGGTTAAGAAACAAAAATAATAATCTGGCAATCCTTTATGGTGAAAGAAAATTCTGAAAATAGAGTAAAGGAACTGAAGCCAATTGACCACAGCAAAAAGCCTTGCTTTTACGGACTCAGACGAACTAGTAGAGCACTCACGCAAAATGAGACATAGTCGCGGAAGTGTTTTAAATATTACTGTTTTTTTGAAAATGCATGTTTATGGTCGTGTGAATGGGAAAGCTAGGATACGACTGGATAAATGTGATTACACTGCACTTGTACTTTCATTAACTGTTATTTGTCACCTCTCTCACAGACTCTACAGCAGTGGACATTTGCCAGCTTCCCAAAGAGGAAGGTACTTGTGCCAAATTTGTCCTCAAGTGGCACTTCGATGCCCTGAGCAAGAGCTGCACGCGTTTCTGGTATGGAGGCTGCGGCGGGAACCAAAATCGCTTTGACACGCATCAGCAGTGTCTTAAGGCTTGCGGAAAAGCAGGTACATGTTTTGTGGATAGTAATAATCTCTGATGATCAGTCATTGTCAAAACACTACCTGAGTTAGCATGTCAGTGTATGCCATGCACCCCAGCAGTGTTTATACTGATATATAATTTGTTGTTTTTGTTCCACATTCATTTGACAGCTTTAGTTGGAGTAGTATGGTAAATAAATGTTAATCTACCACATTGTGGATGAAAGACAACCGACAAGCCAATTTAAACAAATGCATTCAGAGCCAAACTGTTGATATTCGGTTTGTTTTAGAATTTTGTTTAAATAATAATATCAAGGTTGACCAACCGATATTAACAATGAAGTAGCCTCCTGGTAAGAAGAAACTAGTGAGCAAGCTATGTTCTCACACTAGCATTATCCCTTAAACCTCCTTCAGTCGCAAGGAAAATTAAAAAAAACTCTCTCTTAGAAAAATGCCAAATATTGCTCCAAAATCAAGGGCAGTTTTTCATCTGAAGATTTGTTTGTGAGCATGCCTGTATTTAAATTTACAGTTGCATTTAAATGGTACAGTAACTTTTTGCTTGTACAGTGGAAAACTACTAACAACAGTTATAATACTATGAAACTAGCTTAGTAATGGATCTGAGTAAAAAAATAATCAATCCAAAAATTCATTTAAAAAAAAAAAAAAGCCGTAATACTGATCTACCACGCAGTACTACAGATGTAGTACACAGTAATACAAATGTAACACCCTTGCAATATCTTTTAATTTGGTCAAAACTTGTGACATTTATTTGACTGACCTGACTACCAACCCTTGTGTTAAATGAGTAAAATAAAAGTTCTCAAATTATTTCTTCATTCTGTGAATGCAGTTTGTTTTCTAAAAATATCTGCGGATTGTATGCTAATTCGTAATTTGAGTCATTAACAAGTGAAAACGTGTTACAGATGCAAAGACGTCTGTTTGTAAAATGACCTAACCATGTTTTTCTTTTCTTTTACATTTATCACCAGCACCCATCAACCAAGGAGTCATGGATGCAATAAGAACATAGGATGAAACATGGCTGGCTGCCCCCCTGTTTAGGGGATTCTTAGGAGCATCACCCCAAATAGCCACACTGTAAGGATGTAATACTAAAGCAACGGTGGCTGCACTGGATTCCACAAAAAATGGACTTTATCCCCGAAATTCTTGAAGTAGAGAAGGGAGGCAACACGATCTGCTGCATAATTAGTTTGAACCTTCTGGTGCTATATATTTGTTTTTAAGTGCATACAGTCTTGTAACGTCCCATTTTCCGGAACAACGGCATCATATCTCAAGTTTAAAAAAAAGCAGTTTAATGACAACAACATTAAAGAACAGTTTTAAGTAATACATCCGTACAAGCAGGACTTGCATTATTCAATGCAGTCTTTTTTTCTCATATATTGTATATTTTACATTCCACATTCACATTGCAACATTGACTTTTATTGATCTATATTGTTTTAAAACACACGTGGTCTCTGTGGAATCATCACTACACTATTCTACAGTCACGGAATCCAAAGCAATGTTTACACAATTTTTGTACGCTGGTTTTATGATTTCATAATGATGATTACCAAACATTGATGTAATGTTAAGTGCACTTCTGGATCCACTGCCTCAAACACACTTAGTTCCAGCTGATGAGAAATGGAATATACTTGTCAAACAGTTTTCTTTCATTTGGTTTTACTGAAATGTGTGTTCAATCGGGGTGTAGTGGTAAATAAACACAAGACTTTCTAATATACATGAGCCACTCATTCTTTTCTTTCTTCTTTTGGGGGGGTGCTTGAAGAGCGACTGACTTGAATAAAGCCCAAAGTTAATTACATCTTACAAAGGTCATTTCTCGTTTCTTTTTTCATTTATTGTATTATAGGATTATTCTACTGCCTTTAGTCTAAGTTAAAAAGAGGAGCAGCTGACAAAGTAGTGCCCTCATATATGCAAGTTAAATATAAAGTTGATTCTTTGTCCAATGTTACCAAACCTAATGTTGTCGATGAATCTCCCTAGATGGTAGTTAAACTTTTGTGAAACAATACTAATGCCTCTTTAGAGAACACGAGACCATCAGCGAGAATATTGGCAAAATTTCAAAATAGTTTTTTCAGATAAAACCATTTCACACCATGTCGCTGTGCCAACTGGAAAGAAGGGAGGAACTGTAGGACCAGGACTGCACGCTAACCTACACGTTCACTTGACTGTAGGACTCCTAAAAACCTGAATAAAGCCCTGGAAAGAAATGTGATCAAATGAAAATATACACATGAGTTTATTAGAGCATAAGTTGAGGTCTGGAGACTTTTAAACATTTACCATCACTAGTTTTACACGCGGAAGAAAATACACCGTGACACATGACCGTGTTACACTGTATGCACACCAACATTTGGACTGCTTGTACAAGGATACAGACATCCTCTGAATACACAATGCACTGTATGTGCACAGGCCTTTCACATCTTCTTTACCTGCTGAGGCACAGAGGTGAGAATTCAACTTGGAATCTGGAACACTGCTGCAAGCAACGTCTGATTAAACATTTAACATTAAATCAGTGCTGTTACTGGTTATAGCAGTATGTTAATGTCCACGGTCACATGCTGGTGGTTTACAGGTGGATGAAATGTTTTGTGACCTAAATCACTATTACTGGTTGGGTTTGACAAAGATTCTCACTTTCATTTGGGCTTGACGTAATTAAAATCTTGAAAAGCATCACCATTAGAGGTGGGCAAAACATCTGTCAAAAAAACAGATGTATGGGCTACAGTACATATATCGTATAATTTTAAGGTACTTATACTTCACTTGATCAATTCCTTTTATAATGTTATGGTTCTACTCCACTCTATTATCAGGGGCATCTGGCTCCAGCCCCCCCTCTCACCCTCTCCCTCCTCCACGACTTGGAGTATCAGTGGTTTTGAAGATGACTCTCAGATTCCATTTTTAAAAAACAGGAGGATCAGATGTTCCACAAAAGAGACATTTCCCCTCTAAAACAAAAGTTTTTTTCTGGTCCAAAGCAGTTATAGGTTCTATCATTTTCATAAAATAGATTCAACTTGAGCTGATACAACAGTAGAATGCTGTTAAAACTTGAAACGTCTTTTAATCATATCAGTCACAGGGGCATGGTACTTGAATGAAAACTTAACAGAGTAGTAACAAGTGACAGAGTAGTTTGATTGATTGATTTGATGATTGTATTGCTACAATAAAAAGGAGCTCTGAATGGATTTTGGAGCAAATCTATCTATGATTGGGGCCTCAACACGGCAACAAGTGAGGTGGCTAACGGTGCTAACAAAGTGTTGACGAAGCTAACAGTGTAACCCTGGGGGCGGAGGGTGAGCTTCGTTTCCATGACCCCCCCCCATCGTTAGGGACCACGTTAGCAGCAGTAACCACAGTTTGAGCTCTGGGCAGAGAGACAGACATCAGCTAGGCAGCGGACGATACACACACTAGAAAATCCCAGACCTCAAAGCTCGAACGAATGCAACGGGCAATTCAGCGTCAGAATTTCCACAATGAGCCGAAAGCGCCTAACAGCAGCTCACTGTGGAGCACTGCTGAGTCATTCAAGACATGCCAGACCACCCTCTCTCTTCCAACACGCCACCACATGAATTGGAACCCACAACCTCAACCGTCAAACAGAGCTGAGCCGTGTTTTGGTTTCCGTGAGGTGATGGATGGGTCATAAAGACCATGTGAAATGGGGGCCGTCCTTCTCTCCAGACCTTTCATTGCTTTCTTCCTCTGTTTGAGACTTTATTATTATATTTAGATGGTGCCGTTCCTCTTGGGGAGATTGTTCTCTTTTTCATACCTTTCTCAGTCTCAGATCCACACCCGCCTCACCACGCATGAGCATAAACTCCCTTCACATCTTCTGATCACCAACCAACCCTCTAAACAGACTCCTGCCCCCCAGAGACACATTTGGCTAGATCGTTCTGAGGTTTTTCTGTGCCAGCACTCTCGCCCGGCTGATTCCCCGTCACCGACCCCGTCTGTCCCTGTTCTTCCCGCTCTGCCAGATTCCTGGTAAACCTACTCGCCTTCTGATTCTGTCTCCGGTAAACTCTGCCAGCTGAAGGTTTGATAATAAAAGCCAAAGATCCCAGAACTCCCGTGTATTGCTTTTGGGTCCATATACTCTCGGTTACAATATTTGAGACACTCCATGGTTACATTAATGTGTTGAGCAGATTAGTATGCATGTTCTCACATAAGTCCCATGCAGTTCTCCAATAATTACGCCCATTTTTCCCAATGAGCATGTGCAGCATCCTCTCATTCCCGCTGACACAGAACAAACTTATGAGCCTAATTGATGAAACATGGGCTCTTTGCTCAACATTCTCCTTTGGTTTTTGCCATACGAGACCAGTGATTTTATAGGAATTTCCCAATAGCGATGATTCATATGCGACAATTAGAGAAAGTTGTGCCATAGACTAAAACTTTTCCAGTTTTGAGAAAAAACTAAATGCATTGGTTTCTTCTGCAAGACTGTTCTTTTGAAGAAGAGTTAAATAGTGATTGTGGTCTGCACTGTGTTTGATGACTCCTAAGGAAAAGACTTCTATGTGGTCTAGAAAGGATGTGTCTTGGTCGACTGCTTTCCAAGTGATGAACTTGGCAAAGGTGGACGACAAGCGTGGGAGCTCTGCTTTGTCCTTGGTGGTTTTATGTCCCATGTGGACCGAAAGACAAGAGGAGGTTTTTAGTGCTCTGGGAGCAAATATGCAGCTGTCCCATCGCTGACTCACACTTTGGCTCTGCATCTTTCCACAACAACCATAACAGTCGGGGGCCTGTAATGACTTTCACATTGAGCAGCGGAGCGGTAGAAGGCCCTGCAGCTCCCGAGCATCTCTGGTCTCTCCCTCTGTCTCCCTTGGCTCTCTTTGCCGTGGCATCCCACGTATGCTACTCAGCTATTGCCCATCCATGGTCGGACTGGATGCTGAGTATACAGTTTGCAAATGTCCCTGGGGCCAGTGAAGGTTTCCAAGTTAAAAGGCTTAAACAAAAGGACAAAGAGATCTGAGGGAAAGTTGCTTATCACTTTTGTCTCTCAAAATGGCTTGTCTCTAATTTTGTGGTAAGAGAATGGACAACACAATCTGGCATTTAAAAATGATTTTGAGAACTAAAGAAAAAGTACTGTAGAGGTTAGTAAGTACAAATAATATCATAAGATCAAATAGTGAACAGTTTAAAGTCTACGTGAAACAAAGTTTGTCCATGGGGATGGTTGAAAACATTTTTTTATGTAAAAAACATTTTGTCACAACCCATTTTAAGAGTCATACCTGTATTAGAAGGATAAGAAGAAAAATAGATACAACAGCTATGCTTCCCATCGACTGCATACACATAAAAAACCCTACACACACACAAGGGGAGTGTGGAGGAAATGAAGGCATATATGCTGAACTGAAAACACTACCACTGTTCATTTAATTAGAAAATAGGATATTCTTTACAGATCACATAGTAAATTCACATGAGCAAATAGTTAAATGAATAATGGCAGAATACTATTTAAATTTTCCAACAGTCCACGGAGCAGAACCCTTGTTGCGTCACATGTTCACTCTTGCTCTGATCACAAAAGCATTAATGGGACTATTTGTTGTGCTTTCTGATTGAAATGAATTATGTTGGTTTATGATGTGTACTATTGCCAACTGTGTATAAACTGTGTTTATGCTCCATTAAACATCTTTAAAAACTAGTTAAACTACTGTTATACGTTCATACTCATATGTTTGGTTAAATAATCTGTATGTAGTATGTATTTTTCATCGAAGGTTTACATCATTTATCTGAAAATATGAGTCACTGATGACGTGTTGTTTTGTCTCTGCACAGCTCTGTTCTGTGTGGCTCCTCCAGGCCCTTGACCTCCAGTTTAGGTAACAGCTGCATCACAAGAGGAATTCAGCTGGATCCCCAGAGGGCGGGGGGAGGTAAGAAACTCATTATGAGCCTTTTCTGACCACATTCTCTCCAATCCAACAGATGTTTCCATTCCTTTATACTGTATGTGAGCTTGCTATGAAGATGGACTATTGCAGCAAAACACTACGTTAGGCTGTTCATTAGCACTTGCTTTCCCCTGATGGTATTGTGAAGATCACCTTAGAAATGTGGTATATATATATATTTAATTAGGGCTGGGCGCAGTATGGCCAAAAATGAATCTGACGCTATTTTGTAAGGTTCTGATGGTATCCCGGTATTTTCCAGTATGTCTGAACTGATCTTTTTTTTGAGTAAACGTTCATTCATTGATATTCATTGCATCGACAGGAGGGGGGTGCGCGGACGCGGATGGTCCGGTCAACGGAGGGGGGGCACTGACCTCCACAGTCACATCTCAATCCAATAGAGCACCTTTGGGATGTGGTGGAGCAGGAGATTCATCACAGCTGTGCAGCTGACAAATCTGCAGCAACTGCGTGATGCTATCATGACAATATGGACCAACACCTCTGAGGAATGTTGGATGTATGCAGTGAAGAACTACGGTAGTTCTGCAAAATGGGTCCAACCTTTTACTAGGTGAACTTAATAAAGTGGCCGGTGAGTGTATGTATCTATGTATATATATTAGGGGTGTAACGATTCATCCACTGAATCGATTAATCGATTTATATTCCTGCAATCCAACTGAATCGATCTGTGCTCCGCAAATCGGCATTCAGGACGACATATATC